TGGTCGGCATAATTGTCATAAACAATAAATGAACCAATAGTTATGAAAAGATAATATATACCACATCTGAATCATAGACAGGACGAGGACCGACGGGGGCGGATACCAAAACCATCGCACTATATAAGATGCAATAATAAAAGTAAGAAAATTATACAAGTATCTATATAAACATACAAGAGTTTTTTTTCCTTTCAGAAAGAAGATAAGAACAAGAGGCTCACCACGGTGGTGCCGGCGACGCGGGCGATCGACGGCGGTGAAGACGGGGACGGGACGTGACGGACCTCTAAACCTAGACAAATATTGAGAAAAATGGAGCTTGGAGGTGGAGCTCGGAGAGGAGAAAGCTTAAGTAGTGTGGCTCGGGCATTCCATCGAACACCTCGTGTGCATAGGAGGTGAGCTAGAGCAACACAAAGCTCTCTCCTCGCCGGCCACGAAAAACAGAGCAGTGAGAGTGCTCTGCTCGCGGGGTATATATAGGCAACTAATTGGTCCCGGTTCGTGGAATGAACCGGGACTAAAGGTGGTGGGCCAGGAGCAAGGCACATTGGTCCCGGTTCGTCCCCCCAACCGGGACCAAAAGGTCCAGACGAACCGGGACCAATGGCCCACGTGGCCCGGCCGGTCCCCGGGGCTCAAGAACCGGGTCCAATGCCCCCATTGGTCCCGGTTCTGGGTTGAACCGGGACTAATGGGCTGGACCGGCCTGGACCATTGCCCCCTTTTCTACTAGTGGACTTTCGACACCAGTTTGTACACCATGTTGCAAAGACTGATTGGTCGTAGATCCTCGATCCTTCTCGGGTTCTTAACCTTTGGTATGAGCACGACCATTGTATCATTCCACCCTTCTGGAATTTCTCCTCCATTCAAGACCGCTAGCACCTCTTCCACTATCTTATCTCCCATGAAATGCCAATGCCTCTTATAAACAACCGCCGGCATCCCATCAGGACCCGACGCCTTTAGATCGCCGATATGATCAAGTGCCGCCTTGATCTCTTCACGAGTGAACTCTGCGTCAAGTACGGCATGCATATCAGGAGTTACTCGTGGTTCGACCTTGTCGATCAACTCAGGCATTCGGTGGGGGTTTGAGGACGTAAAAAGTTCCTGAAAAAAGGAGCACACGTAGTTAGTTAAATCCTCTCCCTCTTCTACTACTTCTCCACTCTCCCTTCTGATCACCTTGAGCCTATTTGATCTCTTCCTAGCCGACGCCACTGACTGCAGGTATTTGATGTTGTGGTTACCCCCCCTTCAGCCACCACATATGGGCACGTTGTTTTTTGACACTAGTGTAGTGTCAAAAATGTCTTACATTATGGGACAGAGGGAGTATCTTATTATTGTATCTAAATCCTCTCATTTATTGTGTTTTATGAGACAAAAAGTAAAAGTTGCATTGGTTTTTATGCTAAGAACTATATCTAGAATAAGATATGGTATCTCTTTTCTCATTAAATAGAGCGCTACATAATTTGTTTGCTTAGGCGTAATGACGTCTAAGATATGGTCAAAGGCAAAGCACTGGGACTGCCCAAAGAGAAGTTGTATCTAAACACATATTTAATGTATGCGATATATCTTAATATATGATGCATTGGGAGTGCCCTTAGAGAAGTTGTATCTAAATACACATTAATGTACATGATATAGGTTAAGATATGAAGCACTAGGAATGCGCTTAGAGAATTATTATCTAAAAAAATGTTTAATGTATATGATATAGCTTAAGATATGATACATTTGAAGTGCTATTGGAGAAGGTATATCTAAATCCTTATTTAATGTACATGATAGCTCGAGATATGGTGCATAGTATTTTGAGATATGATATAGCTTAATATATACCCAAGATTTTAGGAGTGCTCTACACTAAAGAATAGTCTGTATAATCTATAAAAGCAGTTGCTTCCGACTGCATCCACCAAAAGCAGTTCTCTTGGTGCTATTTGCCATGGACCACGGGTCCCCCTTCAAGGAGCTAGCACGCCTCAAGAACAGGAGGAATGCGGTAAACTGTCTTCCCCGCGACGCTATTCTTTGTGTGTTGTTGGCTGGGACTCCAGACTTGTTTGGATGCCACCGTTGGTCTGTATTAGTTTGCTATAGGTGTACCCTAGTCATGAGAGGGAGCCGTCCTCCTGCTGGTTTTCTACTTTCTGTCACTGTTTTATTTTGTGGATTTCTTGTTTCTGGGGATCAGTAGAATCATATGAGCAATGGTGATCGAAGATACTTATTTTCTCTCTCCTTATTAACCATTCTGTCTTATAGAGGTTTCCTGCGTTCTTTCTCCTATAGTTGGTTGCGTCCATGGGGTTTCGAGGAGGGAATCCTCTTTTGTTACCCTGCAAAGCAAGCTGTAGTTGAACTTTTACCGGTACAATTAACGTCTATTAGTAGTTAAATTAAATAAACTAGTAAAATGATTGAGCTATTATATGTTGTGCCGTGCAGGGTGGGTTAGACATGGTGACCATGGCCGCACTACTCGTGGCCGCCATCGTGATGGCAACTGTTGTGCCGGTCACGAGCATGGGCATCACTGATCAAGACCTAGAGTCGGAGGAGTCACTATGGGATCTCTATGAGCGCTGGTGCGCGTTCAATGAGGTGGCGCGTGACCCCGATGAGAAGTCGATGCGCTTTAGCATCTTCAAACAGAATGTGCGCTTCATTCATGAGAATAACCGGGGCGACGCGCGCTCCAAGCTCGGGCTCAACATTTTCGCCGACATGACCCATGCCGAGCTACCCATCGTCGAAGCTGATTGCACCTCGCGGGCCACCTCCGGGACCACTTCGATTACATGCCTCACGGCGCAATCACCAACGAGGACCTCCCCGACCGCATTGATTGGCGGGACCACAGCGCGGTGACGAGCGTCAAGAATCAAGGGCAGTATTGCGGCGCATGTTGGGCCTTCGTCGCCGCTGGCGCTGTGGAGGGCATAACTGCTATCAAGACCGGCGAGCTGGAGGATCTGTCGCCGCAGATGCTCGTCGACTGCGACAAAGCTAACCTTGGTTGCAGATGCGGCGAGTCATGGCGAGCCTTGGATTTCATAAAAAAGAACCGTATAGCGACAGACAGGGCTTACCCGTACGACGGCATTGAGCGTCGGTGCCACGTGAGGCCGGCATTGAACCGTATAACGAAGACTAGTCTACTTTACCGTCTAAGTGCATGTGATGATCTATAGTAACAATGGATTGTGATCGTTAAGCGTGGCTCATGGCTTCGATCGATATTCTTCCTTCTTGACATGCTTAATAGAAACCCTTAATTACTAGGCGCCTTGCTCATTGTTCTTGTTGCTTATAGCTGGCCGACATTTACATTTATCAATTCTGCTACTCCCTTTGATCCATATTAATTGTGGCTGAAATGGATGTATCTAGACGTATTTCAGTGCTAGATACATCCGTTTAAGCAACAACTAATATGGATATGAGGGAGTACTGTTTCTTGCATGCATATTCCCATAGGTTCAGTTTAAGTAAGCTTCAGACCTTCAGTAGCCCAGCTTTCAGGATCGGGTCTATTGTATTCTTAGCCTTGCATTTGGATTGGACTTGACTTAAAAAAAATTGCACTTACGATTCGAATGAAACTGATTAGCAGCTAGTAGTAGTAGTATTCTTTCTATTTTGCAATGTAGCCATCATATATAGTCAGGATTTAGCAACAGTTCACACAGTCAAAGAGGTAGTCTAAACTAAATTTTGAGTTTAGTTCGAGATATAATAGTAAAGATCACATTATATAATTTTCTAGCTGAAAAGAATCTTCAAATGATGTCAGTGATTCAAAGAAGAAAAATATGGAACATTTGATGATATTCAACTTAGGTAGCATTGAGCCATGATGAAACTTAGAAGATAAAAACATACGTACCATGGTAAGAGGACTGTATTTCAGGCTCTTAGGTACCGTTGAAGGTGAGAGAACTGCATTTCAAGCTCCTAGGCACAATTGAAGTTGAGGACATGTAAGATCATATGTCATAAGTTCCGGAGCTAAAGGAAATTACTTAATGAATCAAAGTCTAAATGCAATGCTTTCATCAAAAAAGGGAGAAATATTCAGGCCTTGGGCAGCTTACATGATTGGAACGGCTCGACTTGGACAGGCAACTTGGCCACTTAGCGCAGCAAGTCATTTTCAGATCTAAGTCTTCAACCATATTATGGTCATTTACAGCTCACCCCAGGCCCAGGGTCCTTGTCGACCATCAGTCCTCGGTTGAAAGCAGCTCAAATGCTCTTTAACTGAGATCTATTCATGGCAACTTAGCCACTTGACAGCAATTCATTTCAGAACTATACGACAATTCCATGTTTCCCTTAAGTCTAAGCAACTCACCTCGACAGCCATCTACTCCTATGTGGGAGTTGCACTCATCATGTTCACCATCATATTTTCTAGTTTTTGCGGCAACGGCCCGTTTTCCGGCAGAAGCATAAAGGTTTTAAAGCAATGTTTCCGTCTCACACATAGTTTCCTGCAGGAGTTGACACAACATTTCCTTTTCTTTTGCCTGCTCACGAGGACCAAAAGCCTTGCTGAAACTAGAACTAGCCTAAGCAACAGTCGCACTTACAGTAAAACAAACCGAAATACCAGCAGCAGTACAGAGAAACTAAAAAAAAAAGATTTAACAGAAAGAAACCGAAATATTGTCCTCAGATTGTAATGCTCCACGCAGAGAACAGCAGACAGTCTTTAGATTAGCATCCACCATACAGTTCATAAATTTAGTTGTAACAACACATATCACAAAATAATATTGTCCTCAGCATGAAGGGGAACTCCAGATCTAACCATATGATACCTGATACTGAATCTATCCACCTAATGACACCTGAGGCGGTAGCAAGGAAGACACTATAAGCTGAGAAAAAGGAGACAACTTATAAAGTTAAAAGAAAACATGTGCACACAAGTCACCAAGATAGAACCCGCAAGGAGCCGTTCCTGACTTGTTCTAAGGATGCTCTTTATCCTCCCATTTTCTTCTGAGCTTGTTCACCTTCACCATTATTATGACGTAGAGCATATCAAAGAACCTGTCAACCGCCAGAAAATAAGCGGCCCTCCAAGCCCTTGCGAAGAACAGTATGTTACAGACGGTCAAAAGCCCGAAAGCGAATCCCGCTTCTGCGATGATGTATGTCATTGCGGGCATTGTGGATATGGTATCGGTGCCATCATTTTCTGTTCCTTCAAATGAAGCCTTTCCGAAGCAGGGGCCATTCCGACGAAGGCATAGTGCATCATTGCCCACGAAACTCTCATCTGTGAATGTGGAAAATTGGCCCCCTGTTGGGATATCTCCAGTCAGGTTGTTGTACGAGACATCAAACTTGGAGAGAAATGACAACTTTGTTAGAGATGTTGGTATGCTCCCACTGAGATCATTGTGGGTTAAATTTAGCTCTTCCAAGTTTTCCAAGCTTGATAACTCATCAGGAATGCCCCCTGAGAACTTGTTCCAGCTCAAGTCCAGTACATGAAGATACACAAGATGGCCAAGGCCAGGCAAGACTGGCCCAACAAGCAAATTATTAGAGAGGATCAGCGATGGTGGGAAGCTGACCACACGGTTGTACTGCAAACTATTGCCAGCTGGATTCTTTTTGATGAATAATGGGAGGTCTTCTATTGATGCATGCTCACTTGAATAAGCACTCGAAATTAAACCCTTCATCTGTGTAAAGCTCTCAGGAAGCTCCCCACTAAACGAGTTTCTTGACAGATCGATATAGAAGAGATTATTCAGATTGCCTAACCATGGTGGGATCGGTCCACTCAATTTGTTCCACGAAATGTCCAGCACTCTCAGGTTTTTTGAGTTCTGCAGCCAAGGCTGGATCATGCCTGAGAGTGCACAGTTTGCAAGAACAAGCACCTGCAAGCTCTTGAACCCACTGATGCTGTCCATTGGCATTGTCTGACCACCACGGAAGCTCCGGGTAAGCACCAACGTTGTCAGTTTGGGCAGGTGCTGCAAGACTCGTAATGCCGATGACAAGTCCGTTAAGTCATTACCAGCAAGCGAGAGGAATAATAGGGATCGCAAATGCTTAAAGCTCTCTGGTATCTCCCCATCAAGCAGGTTCCTTCCAAGGTTCAGTGTCCTCAACTTAGTGCACCACATGAGATCTCGAGGTATAGGACCACTCAATCTATTGGTCCCTGCATCCAGAATGTTTAACCTTGGCAGTAAACGGAAGTCAATGGCGATCTTGCCCGACAGCGAGTTGTTCCTTAGGTTGATCACTCGCAGCATTTTGCAGCTTGACAGGGAAGCAGGCAATGTGCCAGTCAACAAATTTGAGGCCAAGCTTAAGAACTCCAGCCTCCTCAGACCTTCAAACACATCAGGGATGACACCAGAGAACATGTTATATGACAGATCAATATGCATAAGCTGAGAGAAGTTACCCAGGTCCTCGCCGAGACTACCAGAGAACTGATTATCTCGTAAGCTCAGCCTCCTCAACTCTGATATCGTGTAAAGATCCCTGGGGAGTTTCCCAGTAAGGCCACTGCTGTCAATAGAGAGCTCAGTAAGCATCTTGCACCGGCCGAACCCGGCGCGGATCTCACCGGTGAACTCATTCCCAGAAAATCGCAAGGCCTTGACCGGCGCAACACAGAGTGCTGTGGTGTTGATGGCACCAGAGAAGGCATTGCTCGAGATATCAAGAACCATCAGATTCATCGCGCCAGGGAACACAGGGTGCGGTCCCTTGAATTGGTTGAAGGATACATTCAGCACCTCAATTGCCGGGAAACCATGTTCACTCGTCGGGAACGCGCCGGAGAGCATGTTCATGCTGAGGTCGAGAATCCGCATCCTTGCTAACCGGCCTAGATCCTCTGGTGGCTGGCCACGGAGAGAGTTGCAGGAGAGGTTTAGAGTCACAAGGCCATCAAGCAAGGTGATCGCGGATGAGATGCCGCCATGAAGGTTCTTGTTGAAGAGATTCAACCCAACAACTCTCCCCAGATCACAAGAGACGCCGGTCCAGGAACAGCACGCTGCATCGTTGGGACCCCATCCAACAAGCCTGCTGACTTTCCTACCCAAGCCGCTGGAAAAAGCGAGAAGCGCCTCCAGGTCAGTGGAGTTGCATGTCTGGTTCAGGGAGTGGCTGCCATGTGTGTGGAGCAGAAAGCAGATGAGCAAGCAGGGGAACAAGCAGTAGTAGCCTCCCATCTTTGGTGAGAGGTGGCGGCGAAACTATAAGATGATTCTGACGGGCATGAACAATTTGGAAGTACTTGTAAAAGAATCCCAGGCTAAACTCACACCTTTCTTGCAAAACTGCATGACAATTTCAAGCATCAAGAACTCACGAAGATGACAAAATGCAGTTATGAGAGCACTCCAAAAGAAGGAAAGAAAAACCTGTTACCTTGGCGGCATCCTTGTCCAGAAAGCCTGATAAAAGAACATAAACCAAGAAGGTGGTCTGGTCCTCTGGGAGCTCTAACTGAAACAAAAGTGATGGCCGAAAATAGTTCAGTTTGAACTTAACCACAGACTTTCTCGGTTGTTGTTCTCAAAGTCAATGGCAATGGACAGTGTGTTCTTTACATAAAGACAATTTCATTTCCCTGTCCCCTTTCATGAAAAAATATGAATACCACCACCAACCCACCACCCCAAAAAAACTGACTTAGTCAAACTACATTACACTCGGGGGTTCCATAGTTCTATTGGAAAAATTCCTTTTGATCTAAGTGGAAGGATACAGGATTTTTTTACTAGAAATTGCGCTCGCTATAAAATAAAAGTTTTAATTTGGGTTTTCCCACAACTAAAGAAAAAGAAAATGGAAGAATTCTTCTTATTGCATAATAAAATAATACAAATCATCGCTTCCTAGTACTTTCCATGAGTTTCCCCAACAATTGACTCAGCGACGCAATGTAAGTCCTACAGCACTTTGGGAGGGTCTGCCTATCTTTGGCAAGAGGCTGGGGCGGAAGTATAAAATCTTTCTGAAGGGCATGAACAATTTCGAAGGACTTCAGAAAGAGTTCTGGGCAAAACTCAGAACTCTCTTGCAAAGCTGCGTGAATTAAAACACCAAGAACACGCAGAGATGATAAATAGCAATCGCAAGAGAACTCCAAAAAAAAGGAAAACAGATCAATCTTTGCTTGACACCAACATTTTTGGTTGCTGTTCTCGAAGTCAATGGCCTGGGCTACGTATTATTTACTTAATGACAGCTTCAGGCAACTGTCTTCATTTGATTAACAAATATGATACCGCCCACCCCCTCTAAAAAAACTTAGTCAAACTAGATTATTTTAATACAAGTCATCCCTTCCTAGTAATTTCCCTGTGTTTCCCTACCAATCAGCTCAGCTCCCCAGTTTAAATCTTACAGTATTTTAGGAGGGACTGACGACTTCTACTAATTTAGGTACTGTAAGAGTAGGCCTGTATTATTTTGGATGAAGAATAAAAATTGAATAGTGCAAGTTACATATCACCATTAGCTAACTAATTTAAACAGTGAAACAAGTGGTGAAGTAAAATTTAGAGAATTTATGATTGCCATGTAAACAAGTATATTATGCTACTTCAATGCAGGTCATATCAAATTTCTAGGTTCCTATATATATAGCTACTGGATACAAGGATGGGGCTAAAGTATTATGTAAGATCCATATGATATGAAAATAAGAACTGTATGCTTGCCACCTTACTTGTTTAAGCAATCAATCATCTACAATGAAACCATGATTCATAGCGAATTATGATCTTTTGGTGCAACATGAGCATGAGCAAAGTAGCAATCTGTGTTAAGAGCAACATTTTTGTTTGGATGCTTAGATATTCGGAACACAGACTGGATATTGAGGTCGATCGAATGCCAAATGTTGTTTGGGTTGTCATTTGTCAATGTGAGACATTGAGTTGTATGAGACTTTGCCGCTAGACAGGGGAGAGGGTGGGAGCTCTAGGAAGAGAGGAAGGAGCCGGTCAGCAACACACCTGCGCCGGGCGGCAAAGCTCGGGGTGGAGGCACGCCGGTCGCCGGAGATGATGGTGGAGGCGGGGTAGGAGGGTGGCGCCGGTCTCTGGAGAGCTCTGGCGGGGCGGGAACGTGCCGCCGGCTGCTGGAGAGCTCCGGCGGGGCGGGAAGGTGGCGTCGGCCGCTGGATCTTGGGGTGGAGACGAGGCGGGAGGATCTTGGGGTGCAGGCACGCCGGCCGCGGGGGCTCGGTGTGGAGGCGGCCGGGATTGGCGCCGCCGCCGTTCGTCGAGACGGGAGGTACGACGCTGGGTTGGTTCTGTTCGCGAACAGATAAGCACGCTATCCCCCAATGCCTAGCGATGTCGAGGACACAGGCTCCGAAGCTTTAGGGACGGACCGCTCAATATCGAGCCCGAATGCCACGACTGAATGCCAAGACCAACCAGACGGTGGCTAAGTTAGAACTTCAGAATTACTATTTAGTTGCCTCGATCAGGATATGTAAAGTCATACTGTATTTATTAAGTTCTGAAACGAAACTAAATTCATGCTACCACCCACAAACACTAGGAATATTCAGGCATCAGTCAGCTTACAAGATTGGAAGGGCTTGACTGGGACAGGTAACTCTGCAACATGATGCCCTTAGTTAAAGCTGAACATTCCCTGTGATCTTCAATATTCATCAGCTCATATCTTTCATAAGCAACCAGAACACCTGGAAAATGCTTAGCCTGTAAACTCAACAAGCCCTTGTCAAAATAATACATAGTAGTAGAATTCAACAAGCAAATACTCCCTCTGTCCCAAAATAAGTGTCTTAACTTTGTACTAACTTTAATACAAACTTTAAAGTTGTAGTAGAGTTGAGACACTTATTTTGGGACGGGGGGTGTATTTCTTCGATACACTAAAAAAATACTCCCTCCGTCCGGAAATACTTGCCGGAGAAATGCATCCATTTCTCCGATAAGTATTTCCGGACGGAGCGAGTAGCAACACGGGGCATTCAGCTATCTCTGTTCTACAGAAAGAGAAAACTGTAGCTCAAAATTCTGTTGTTGATCACAGACAGACTGAAACAAAATCAAACAGATACATTGGTGCAAGACACACGATAGCGTTGGCTCAAACTTCCCTCTCCTTTCTATGAGCAGACTCGAGAAGTTGCCAGCTTGGACCGAAACCCTTGCTGACATACAATGAGGTAACCTCAAAAAATGCTAGGACTAGCCAAGACAACAGTCAAAACAGAGTAAAGCAAGGCTTGAACAATTTTGCAGAGAGAGAAAAAAAAGATTCATGTGTTTTTTGGAGCCACCGAAGCCAATCATTCCAGAGATAGTAAAGAGAAAGTGGAAAGAGAGATTTCAGGGGGAAACCCCAAAAACGGTACCTGCATCATCTTTGATCAAATGCCCAAACGAACAGAGAAAGGGGAAAGCAGATTTTACTGCTCCACACAGCAAACAGTCTTCAGATTAGCATCCGCCATACAGTTTTAAAATTTATTCTATAAATGCATATCACAAACAATATTGTCCGCAACATAAAGGAAACTCAAAATCTAACCACAGGACCCCTACTGCTAAATCATCTATCCAGCTAATGACACCTTAAGCGGAAGCAAGGACCAAGGAAGAAAAAACATACGAGTTACAGAACATCTGCACACAAGCCATGTCTGACTCTTTAAGGATGAACTTTGTACTCCCATTTTCTTCTGAGCTTGTTCACCTTCACCATTATCATGACATAAATCATATCAAAGAACCTATCAATCATCTGAAAATATGCAACCCTCCAAGCCCTTATGAAGAACAGTGCGTTCCAGACCATTAAAAGCCCAAAAGCGAATCCCACTTCCACGGTCATGTATGTCATCGCAGGCATTGCAGTATCCATACCACGATGCTGCTCATTTCCTGTTTTCACAAATGGAGCCTCTTCAGTGCAGGAGGCATTCTGAAGAAGGCAGAGTGCAGAATTGCCCACAAAATCCTCATTTGCAAATGTGGAAAATTGCCCCCCTGCTGGTATATCTCCAGCCAAGTTGTTGTAAGAGACATCAAACTTGGACAGAAATGACAACTTTGTTAGAGATGCTGGTATGCTCCCACTGAGATCATTGTGGGACAAATTTAGAGCTTCCAAGCTCGACATGTTTGACAACTCATCAGGAATGCCCCCTGAGAAGTTGTTCCAGCTCAAGTCCAGTACATGAAGATTCACAAGATGGCCAAGCCCACACAACACAGGCCCAACAAGCAAGTTACTGGAGAGTATCAGCGACGGCTGGAAGCTGCTGACATGTTTGTACTGCAAACCTTTGTCAGCTGAATTATTCTTAAATAATAACGGGAAGTCCTCTATTGATGCATGCTCACTCGAACTATTACTTGAAATTAAACTCTTTATCTGTGTAAAGCTCTCAGGAAGCTCCCCACTAAATAAGTTGTTTGACAGATCGACAAAGAAGAGATTATTCAGATTGCCCAACCATAGCGGGATCTTTCCATTCAACTTGTTCCATGAAAGGTCTAGAACTCCGAGACTCTCCAATTGTTCCAGCCAAGGCGGAATCATGCCGGAGAGCACACAGTTTGCCAAGACAAGCACCTGGATGCTCTTGAACCACTGAAGCCATCCATTGGCAAGGTCCCACCACCATGTAAATTCTTGGTGAGCACCAAGCTCGTAAGTTTGGGCAGATACTGCAAGACTCGTAATGGAGTATATAGCAAAAAACTACCACATTACGGGCTATCACTACAAAAAACTACCACTTTTTTTAATTTTTCGAAAGACTACCACAAAATTGGTTGGCAGTTCCAAAAAACCCAAATGACCATGTGATTTAAAATTGATCCGGTTTATGACATATCGGGCCCGCTCCTAAATAAACTGTCTGTTGACTGTTTGTTTGACCGTTAAATGACATGTGGGTCCCACATGTCAGCTCTCTCTTCCTTCCCCTTCTCTTTCTTCTTTCCCTGACCTTCCCTTATCTCTCCCTCACAAGCGACTTACAGCCAGCGCCGCCGCCGCCGTGGGCCGCTGCCTGAGGCCTCCTACAGCAGCGGCGGAAGAGCGAGAGCAGCAGCTCAGGCCGCGCGCAGCAGCCGGCACGACGGGTTCCCTCCGGTCGCTCCCCGTGGCAACGTTCAGCAAGAGAAGGAACTCCGGCCGCGTGCAGCAGCCGCCACGACGGGCTCCCTCCGGCCACTCCCCGTTCCGCCGGAGCACGACAGAAGCAGCCGACACGACGTTCAGCAGGAGCAGGAGCAGCCACAGTCGGCCGCGCCATGGGGAGGCTCGCGCCGCCGCCTGCCTGCTCAGCCCGCGCCATGGGGAGGCTCGCGCCGCCGCCTGCCTGCTCAGCCCACGCCATGGGGAGTCTCTCGCGAGCAGCACCATGGCGAGCACCGGCAACTAACAGCCCGAGCGGGTGAGCGGCACCAGGGAGTGGCTCTGGCGGCCAGCAGCCCGTGCGGTGCCAGATGCGCCCGTGAGCAGCAGCCTAGGCGGCGCCAGATGCGAGCAGCTGCTGCTTGCCGGCGGCCATGGCCACCGTAGCCACGGCCGAGCAACGTCGGCAGACCAGCACATCGGCTCCGGCGACGAGCTTGCTGGCAAGGACCTGATTGCTTTTTATATTTTTTACAGGGACCCGATTGCTTTTTAAAAAATATAACAGGGACCTGATTGTTTCTTTAAAAATATTTGGGCCCCACCTGTCATAACCTGTCAACGGTCAATCTAACATTTAAACCTAACGGTCAACCTGACGAATGGGCCCGAGCTGTCATAATATAGCTTAAACTTAACTGCTCAACCATTAGAGTTTTTTGGAACTGCCAACCAATTTTGTGGTAGTCTTTCAAAAAATTAAAAAAAGTGGTAGTTTTTTGTAGCGATAGCCCGTAATGTGGTAGTTTTTTTTGCTATATACTCCTCGTAATGCCGATGACAAGTTGGTGAAGCCATTGTCAACAAGCGAGAGGTGCGACAGGGACCGCAAATTCTTATAACTCTCTGGTATCTTCCTCTCAAGCTTGTTCGTTGCAAAGTTCAGCGTCTTCAACTCGGTGCACCACATGAGACTGGGAGGTACAACACCACTCAGCATGTTGCTCCCTACATCCAGAATGTTCAGCCTTGGCAGTAAGTTAAAGTCAATGGCAATCTTACCCGACAGCGAGGCCAAGTTTAAGAACTCCAGCCTCCTCAAACCCCCAAACACATCAGGGATGATGCCAGTGAACATGTTGTATGACAGGTCAATATGCATAATCTGAGAGAAGTTACCCAGGTGCTCGCTGAGACCACCAGAGAGCTGATTTTCCCATAAGCTCAACCTCCTCAGCTCTGATAAAGTATACACGTCGTGAGGCCACTTCCATCAATAGAGAGCTCAGCGAGCATCCTGCACTGGCCAAAGCCTGCAAGGATCTCACCATTGAACCCATTACTGAAAAATCGCAGGGCCTTTACCGGCGTAATACAGAGCGCCATGGTATTGAATCCACCAGAGAAGGCATTGCTAGAAATATCAAGAACTGTCAGGTTCATTGCACCGGGGAACAGAGGGTGCGATCCGGTGAATTTGTTGAAGGAGACATTCACCACCTCAATCGCCAAGTAGCCACCTTCACTCACTTGGAAAACACCAAAGAGCATGTTCACACTGAGGTCAAGCTTCCGCAGCCTTGCTAACCGGCCAAGCCTCAAAACCCATTACCTGATATTGGCGGGGGAGTTGATGCTACCAAAATGAAACTCGTCGAGGCTGCTGCTAGAGTTCAAAAGGCCAAGGACAAAGCTGCTTCCGATGAGGCAGCAAGAAGAAGTAGCGACAGGAACAAGAAGAAAGATGAAGGACAAACTATGGATAAAGCTACGGAGATGGCTAGAAAGAAAAACCTCGAGGTAACCCCAGGTGAGACCACAGTACCTACTGTTTTAAATACTGTACCTAGCTTTATTTCCCATATTACTAGTTCTGTTGGTGCTAGCTTAGGTACGAGTCCTAAGGAAATAGAGCGATCTATTTCTATGATTAAGGAATTAGAAAAGTCTAGAAGTGATTTATTTACTGCCAGATTAAGGAAAGAGGATAGAAAAGATAATGATACTGAGTCAAAACTGGATAGTTTTGACCCTGATGCTACTAAGAACTTAGCTTCTGATTCCGAAGAGGATGAGGATCTAAGAGAGGAAATATTGATGTTATCTTCTTTGTTTAAACCTAAAAGGAAGGTTTGCACTGGTGCGTTCAGTGTTAAACCAAAGGTTCGTTGTAGTGTTGGTAATGATACCTGATTATATATAAAGTTTTTTTTATGGCTGGTATTTTTTGGAATGCTAGAGGATTAGGGGAACCTGAAAAGAGAAGATTTCTTGCAGAAACTATCTCAGAGCATAAGATAGAATTTGTTTGTATTCAAGAGACAAAAAAGAGCGCGTTCACTGACCCTTGGCTGGCTGGGGTTAGCGGCCGTTTCACCTTTATTTGGCTTTGGCAGCCATCTGTTGGTGCTTCGGGTGGCTTGCTTATGGGGGTTAGAGAAGATTTATTTGAAGTAGATACTTGTGTAGCTAGTAAATACTTGACTAGGATGACTCTTATGGATAAGAGGACGGGTTTCAAATGGAATCTGGTCAATGTCTATGGAGCTGCTCACTCCAGAGACAAAGAAAATTTCTTGATTGATTTTGTGCATATGCTTGGGTGTAATGATCATCCTTTTGTTGTTGGTGGTGATTTTAATATCATTAGGAGGAGGAAGGATAGGAACAAGGCCAAGAAGCTTCCTAAATGGTCCTTTTTTCAATTCTATTATTGAGCATTGGGGCCTGAAGGAGCTTGAGCTTTCTGGGTGAAATTTTACTTGGTCGAATAACCAGATTGATCCCCTTTTTGTTAAGTTGGATAGGATCTTAGTTAGCCCCGCTTGGGAGTTAAAATTTCCACTAGTTACTGTCAGGACACTGGTTAGAGGTGTCTTTGACCATGCAGCCTTGTTTATGCATAACGGGGTTAAAACCGTTACAGCTAATAAACCTTTTCGTTTTGAATTATGTTGGTTAACCAGAGAGGATCTTGCTGCTGTAGTTAATAAAATTTGGCATTCTAATGTGAATGGCAAGGATAATTTGGGCATTTGGATGCAGAAAATGAGGAATTTGAGAAGATGACTGAAAGGCTGGAATCTCAATGTGGAGGGGGCTTATAGGAAAAAGAGAAACACTCTAAGTTCTCAACTAGATGATCTTGATAGGAGATGTGAGCTAACTGGGTTATCAGTAGCTGTCTATGAACTTAGGAAAGACCTTCAGTGTAGTTTGAATAAGATTTTGAGAGAGGAGGAAATCAAATGGTATCAGTGCTCTAAAGAGAGAGATCTCAGGAAAGGGAATAACATCACTAGATATTTTATGATTAAGGCGAGCGGTAGGAAAAGAAAGAACAAGATCTTTCGTTTTGTGCAGGATGGGGTTATTATCCAGGGTGATAAGGAGCTATTGGAATATGCAACCAAATTCTATAAAGAGCTTTTTGGTCCTGTAGACCTTTTACCTATCTCCCTAAATATCCCTGTTCCTGCTTGTTTAGATATTAAAGATAAGAAAATGCTGACTGCTAGATTCTCCTTGGAAGAGATCAAGTTTGTTGTCTTCTCTATGAAACGTAACCGAGCGGCTGGCCCCGATGGAATGCCCGTTGAATTTTACCAAGTATTTTGGGATTTAATTTGCTCCGATCTACTTCAATTGTTTAATGATTTTTTTTGATGGCAAATTGGACCTCTCTAGGCTAAATTATGGTGTTGTTACATTGATTGCCAAAGGGCAGGGGGCTGATAAGATTCAGATGTATAGACCTATCTGTATGCTTAATGTTCCTTTTAAGATTTTTACCAAGGTTTTGAACACTAGAGCTATGTTAGTTGCTGACAAGTGAGGGAGTCCCGGACTAGGGGGTGTCCGGATAGCCGAACTATCATCATCGGCCAGACTCCAAGACTATGAAGATACAAGATTGAAGACTTCGTCCCGTGTCCGGATGGGACTTTCCTTGGCGTGGAAGGCAAGCTTGGCGATACAGATATGTAGATCTCCTACCATTGTAACCGACTCTGTGTAACCCTAGGCCTCTCCGGTGTCTAGATAAACCGGATGGCTTTAGTCCATAGGACGAACAACAATCATACCATAGGCTAGCTTCTAGGGTTTAGCCTCCTTGATCTCGTGGTAGATCTACTCTTGTAACCCACATCATCAATATTAATTGAGCAGGACGTAGGGTTTTACCTCCATCAAGAGGGCCCGAACCTGGGTAAAAACATCGTGTCCCTCGTCTCCTGTTACCATCCGCCTAGACGCACAGTTCGGGACCCCCTACCCGAGATCCACCGGTTTTGACACCGACATTGGTGCTTTCATTGAGAGTTCCTCTGTGTCGTCACCAATAGGCTCGATGGCTTCTTCGATCATCAACAACGATGCAGTCCAGGGTGAGACCTTCCTCCCCGGACAGATCAGATCGAAAGCTACGCCCCTGGCCGCCAGGTCAGATTTGGAAG